AAAGTGTTCAAAAGGAAAGAGGAACTTGGGTTGGGGAAAGCGGAAAGCAAGAAAGGGAAAAAGAAAAAATAGAAGATAGTGAAGTTATGCTACTATAATTTTTCTTACTTCCTTGAAAAGAAAGGTTTGGGCTAATATCGTGTGGAGAATTTTTCATATCTAAAACTTGTACTCTGAGTAACTACTCTGAAGCTAACAATATGCAATATATTAACTATTGTTACTGAAAAAATTCGTAACAAAATTAATTTGGTGAGTCAGAAACTCACTGTGCCACAGAATGTGCAAGAATGGCTTGTCTCTGTTCGATAAAGGCTAGCACCTCGGCTCAGTCATCTGAAGTCTATTTTGTTATGAATTTTTTTCTATAAAATAAAATTACAGTAAAATACACATTGCCTTTAATCCTACTCAAAATACCCTACCATTTACTCTACTGTTCTTGCCATTTTCTGCAGCAGTTCTGAAAGTTCTCTTTTGATTCTGTAGATTATCAAAAATATGGGGAATGCAGTTTCTGAGTGTCACTGAATGAAACAACAGTCTTACAAAAATATTAGAGTCTTCAACCACCTTGTTCAATGCATTCTAATACTGTATGACTTCTGGCTGTTTTCCAAAATAATGATGAAAGGTAAAAATTTTGAATAAATTTAGAAGCAGCCATAACATGCAACCAAAGAAAATCATAAAAGAATTCTAAAACTTTAAAGGATAAAGCGTAAAAGAAAGGAAGGGGGTAATTTGGCTTTGAAAGTCTAGAAAACCTCTGGCTCTGAGACTAGCCAAAATTATTCTAAGTTACAAGGATCAGTGTACCTGGCAGAAATAAATGAGCAAACTATGGAGGCTGAAAATATTATTTTGGCCATGAAACTATTTTGGTTTTCAAATATTGACAAGTAAACATAATGAGACACAAAGGTGTAACAGTAAGTATAAGGAATAGAAGGAACAAAAGAAAAAGAAACAGACTTTCAGATTGGAATTGTTAGACATAGACTAGTGAACAAGAGTGTCTCAGTTACTCTTCTCTCGTTGCTGAGATAAATACACTTAAAACTAAGGAAGCAAAGATTTATTTAGCTCACAGTCAGTGGAGGTTTCAGTCCATACTTGACTGGCTCCAAGGCAGAGCTGCACAGGGCAGAGAGCATCCATTCATGGCAGCAGCAAAGAGCAGAGAGCAAAGCGAGTAGCCACAACAATGGCAGCAAAGAGCAAGTCTGTCTCCCTTAAAATGCTGCACTCAGGCTCTCCGCCCCAGGCCAGGCGTAGCACTCACACCCATAATCACAGCAGCACTTACACCTAGAATCTCAGCACTGGATCAAGAATTCATCACAAAGTTTACAAGTCCGCCCTATGACTGCATGAGAATTTGGGGGGACAACTAGACACAAACCGTAACAAAGAGATTAAAGTCTTGGTGAGACACCAAGGAAACGCAAGGCTGACAGGCTTGTGTGTCTCCTATTAGAAATTTGAGAACTGAAAATATGAAAGTGCTAAGAATAACCAAGACACAGACGTAAGTTGAAAGGAACCCTTTTCCTAATTGTAAAAAATACGTGTCAGCTATATTGATAAAGTCAGTATATAACAAAGCAATCAACAAGAAAAGGAACAAAAACTTAGACAAATTTTACATAGATGTATTTGTGCCACTTGGTGGCCTGAAGAAAAAATAATAGATTTTTTTTCAGTAAATTGTAGAGAGGCATTATCTACCCATCATTTACAAAATTAATTCCTTGTGAATTAAAAAGCACATATAAAAAACAAAACTAAAGTTCTCTGAAGACAATAGGGAAGAGTACCTTCATGATTATCATGCATACAGAATGTGATTTTTTTCAGACAACTCACAAATATCTTTCATAATCAATGAGGAAAAGACTGCTAACACCAAAGAAAAGTGTGTAACAAATTGACAAGACACTTCACAAAAACAAGATCCAAATGCCCAATAAATTTATGAAAAAGTACTCCACTTCACTAGTAATTAGGAAGTTCAGAATAAAATTTCAATTAGATACAACTGTACAGCTACCTGATCAGCAAAAGAAAAAAAAAGTTCTGTCAACAGTATTAACCATAACAAGAGTCTAGAAGCTAGGAAAATTTCTGTAGTTTTTTCATAAAATTTAAGATATGAAAAACCAAGTAATATATAATCAAGCAGTTCTACTATAATTATTTGCAAGAGTAAATATAACAACAACATTCATGGAGGAAGCTCATTGTCTCACAATGAAAACACTATCAATCAAAATCAACAGAATGAGTAAACTGTGGTGTATTAATGCAAAGGTAAATTATACAAGCAGTGATAACAAAGGAAGCACAGCTAAAACCAATGTGGATGAATCCACATGTTGGGTGAAAGAAGCCACAAAAGGAGGCAGTGGGATTCTTTTATGTAAAGTTCAGAAACAAGTAGACAGAAACTGCATTGCTCAGGTTCACGCATATAAGGACTTCGTAGTTACAGAACCTAGAATACTGGTAATCACCAAAGCGTGTTTAAGAAAGCTGTTGTGAGGGGAAAATTATACTGAATTTGCGAACTGTCATTTGTTTTATTAGTGTATTGGTTATGTAAAATAGTCACTTTAAAATTATTCCTTAAACTCTGCATTTTATATATTCTCTTGCATATGTATTTTTGAACATACATCTTATCAATTAAAAAAAAATCAAAGCTTGTAAGACATGTAAAGAGAAAAGGGAATAAACTACTGACATATTTACTCTGATCCTCAAGATTTCAAGTTCCTGATCTCTGTTACTGAATCTGTTCAAGTAAAATAGTTATAATCACATGTAGTAACTGCACACTAAACTAGGTACTTTTTAAAAAATGTATTTAGTACAGGGTTTACAGGATCTCACTACACACATTGGACTTGTAGTGATCCTGTTTTCAGCCTCCCAAGCACTGGGATTACAGGGGCATGCCACCACACCCAGTCTCAAATCATCATGGACATCTCAGCACACCTCAGGGGCAGGGCTGTGCATGCCAGGGATTGAACCCCGTCCTGTCCCTGTGTCTGCCTAAGTAGGCACTCTAATCTACTGAGCTATCTGGCTAGCCCTTAAACCAGGTACTTTTAATCACAATGAATTTGTGATGACAATCACTGCAGTTAACATTAAAATTTTTTTTCCTCCAAGATTTCAAGAGACTAATTTACTTTCTTGTTCATTTTACTAATTCGCAGTTGTGGATTCAATAAAACCCTGAATTATTTTAAAACTCTGACACTGTCATTACTAAAATGCACTATCACAGATAATGTATAAAAATAAAGAGGCTATTCTACAAGTTCATACCTTTGGGATGATTTATGAATGACTTAGAGAACAGTAATATAACTGCTTTACATTCTTAAAAGAATGGATTTCAGAAACCCCCCACCTGTGGCCTGGAATTTACCAGTGAAGCTTTACATGGTAACAACTATTTTTCCCTATTTTGGTGGTCTTGGTTGAATGACCATGCTGGTGATACACAGAGTGCCTCACACCCGCTGCACAGACTCTAGCGCTGAGTGTGCTGCCCACCCCTCCCCAACCATTTCCTTCTTTTTTTTTTTTTTTTTTGGTGGAACAGGGATTCTACTGAGCCATCTCCCTGGGTCTTCCCCAACCATTTCAACAGAACTTCAAGGAGCCAAAGGCATTGTGAAGTAAAATCACTCTATACCTGATGAATGCTGTATCTCCAAAAGCGCAAAACATGAAAATTAGGAAGCATCAAAGTGACATTACTCAAAGTGCCACTATCAATCTCTGAAGCAAACTATATAAACATTTTTTTTATAAAGATACTCTCACATGTCATTTATTTTTAAATTTAAAGTAAAAAAATGACTCAGTGGAATTGTACACAATTTTTGCAGCTGCTATTTCACACCATCAACACTGACTTCATCTTACAGGGATAAAAAGAACAATGAGAAAAATTATCTTCACCCTAGCTTTCAAGCTTAGTAGAATGAATTAAAAGAAAGGACAGTAGTAACCATTACTACAGGAAAAAAATAGTTCTAGGTTTAATTACAAAATGAACTTAATCCCTTGTTTTCTTACTGATATCTGCCGAAGCACTGATTCCTATAAATATGAACTGACAGCCTGAATATAAATTTACTTCAAAAAATGTGGACACTTAGCCAAAATACAAGCAAACTACTAGATAATACTTGAGGGCTAGCTCAGTGGCGTAAGTGCCTCCCTGGTAAGGTTTTGAGTTCAATCCTTAGCACCAAAAAAACAAAAACCTTGAGAAATGCTGATGGACTACCTTGAAAATATTAGTCACTGTCAAAGAGTACAATGCAAAGTACAAGTGGAAAATTTAATACAAGTCTTTCGGCTGGTGAGCTAGCTCAGTGGACTAAGCGCCTGCTTATGCAAGCACAGGGGCTGGGGTTCGATCCCCAGCATCACATGCCATGGCAGCCCTGTCCCCGGGTGCGCTGAGCCAGCCAAGACCAGGCCTGGTGGTGCATGCCTATAATCCCAGTGCTGGGGAAGCTGAAAACTGGAGAACCACTGCGAGTCCAAGTTGTATAGTGAGACTCTGTACCAAATACATTAAAAAAAAAAAAAAAAAAGTAAAAGCAAGTCTTTTTATTCCTATCCTCTACTATTTTAAGACACAGAGAACCTTGATTTTCCTGGATATTCAATTTTAGGTATTGTTAATTTTTGGTACTGGATTATATACAATGGGAAAAGGTAGAATATGAGGATCAAAAATGGGCCCTTGTTGACCTGAGCTTACAATGTTGAGTACTGTTCACAACATTTTAATGAAAGCATTTATATTTGCAATAGTGACTGTTGACAGAAATTTTTTCAATAAAGATCTAAAAAAACTCCTTTTTATCCTTTTTCAATCCCCTAAGAATGGAGAATAAACATAAAGTAATCATATTTTCTCTTAACCTTAGATAGTTGGAAGAAATAAAACACCAAGACTCTACTACTAGTGATGTTATTTTTAATTTTTAGTTTTCATGTATTTTGGAGTATACTCCCTTCACAAATGTTTTAGTTTTATATTCGATTCACAATTGCTTTAGAGTTCCAAATAAATAAAATACCCACAACAGAGGATATTTTTGAAGTTCAAATGAGTAGCCACATTATCTGTTCACAGTCTTGGATTTTCTAAGAGGGTTGTCCGAGTCCATATAATACTGTTAACAGTTCAAGTTGACATGTATCATCTGATTTTCTCATGGCTTACAACACTGATGATGTGAGAAAAAAAATCCTGATGGGGATGGGGGAAAAAGGGAATAATAAACTTTATTAGTAGAAGTAACAGGACACTAAGGTACACAATTTAAAAAATCTCTCCTCTTTCCTAGGTATTAAAATTTTAAAGCCTAATCATATAAGAGACACATGGTGCTGAACAACATTTATATTGCGAAATGGGTCTCAAATACCACACAAAAAAGAAACCTATAAAGTGGGGTTAAATTGTCTGGATAGATACATTCATTTCCAATTTCTTTACATTTTTCTTTCTGTCATAGACATGTATTTTGTTGTATTGAGCTTACTGCACAAATTTGTTATAAAATGGTATTTCAATTAAAATTTGCTTGCTATCACAGTCATGTGTGAAGCATCAGACTAGTTTATAATATGTTCCAAAATGCTAATTAGTTTCTTAACTGATGTTTTCCTTAAATTAAGCCTTCTGCAAAGACAAATCCACAGTACTATGAGCTGACTCTTCTTAAGCTTTTGAACTGAGTGCACTCTTCATAGAACCCTGTAGTTAGGGAGTAACTTTAAGATCACCTCTATTTGGTGTCATGACTGAAGAAGTATCTCACAGGAGGTCCTGGTAAATCTTCATCTCCATTGGTGTCTGGGGCAAATGACACAGTAAGATCTACATATTTCTTTTCAGTAGAAGGTTTCACAAGTTTGTGCATCCTACAGGAAAAAAAAAAAAAAAGCAAGACTGATACACTGATAATTCCACAGTTAAGAAAGAAAGATTCTTTTTAACACTACCCAAAATATTTGACCTTGTATTTTTACATTTTACTTTAAAAATCTAATTCATCTGGGGCTGGCCAGATAGCTCAGCGGATTAAACCACCTGTTTAGGCAGACAAAAGGGCCAGAGGTTCAATTCCCGGCTTGGCCTGCTGTGCCAGTCCCACCCGAGGGGTCCACTGAGATGGTGAGTGAGATTGGGATTACAGGCATGGTGGTGTATGCCTGTAATCCCAGTGCTTGGGAGGCTGAAAAACAGGAAGGATCACTACAAATCCGATCTGTGCAGTGAGACCCTGCACTAAAAACATTAAAAAAAAAAAAATCCAAAATCTAATCCATCTGCTTTTTTAGATGAATTTTTATTTGAAAGCTCTGAATTCAAGACACTCATTTACTTAAAAAAGTGAATCAATCTGGACCTCTGCTAGTAAGAAATAGTGACCATATTCTTGAGACTCAAAATTCAATCCTTTTCCTAAACAGGAGTACAAAGTTTAGAGGCAACGTAAGTTCTTTACCATTTCTTTGAAAAGAATGAAGAAGGAAACTAGATTTAAGATCTTAAAAGTACAAGCTGTCTCCAATCTCCATTCTCCTTACATAGCTGCTGTTATAATTTTCTTAAAATGTATGTTTGATGTTATTCTAGTATCTAATGTGATGGAATATAAGACTTTTTTTTTGTTTTGTACTTTAGGGAAGGGTCTACTGGGTGTTCAGGGTCTCACTGCTAGATCCGACCTGTAGTGATCTGCCTCGTTTACAGGCATAGTTTACAGCCTTCTAAGAGCTGGGATTACAGGTGTACATGCCACCACATCCAGTCTCAATTGCCGTCTCAGCACGCCCCAGCTGCGGGGCTGGCATGGCAAGCCTGGGGACTGAACCCTTAGCCCCTGCTTGCAGGCACTTTAATTTGCTGAGCTATCTGGCTGGCCCTAGTACTAACTTCTTGCTATGCTCTGAAATATATAATTTTTAAAATCCTCTATAATGGCCCTTTTCTTCCTTCCTTCCTTCCTTCCTTCCTTCCTTCCTTCCTTCCT